TTCAATTTGTGGATAAAGTTTGGCTATTTAAAAATCAATGAAAACTTTCTGAAACCTGTTAAGAACAGCACAGGTAGGTTTTGTTTTCTTTCATTTTTAATATTCTGGCAATGTGGAGAACTGAGAAACATTCTGGGTACAAAGAAATAAAAATTTACACATTATGTAATCTTTAGCGGTCTCCTCATTTCATGTTCCGGTTTTCTTCTATAAAAGACACGAAGCAACAAGGCAAGTTTTATGACTAAATACTAAATGTTAGCTTGTTTCCCTTTTTCCAGGTGCTGTTTGGAGCTGGGGAGTGACAAGGAGTAAAACCTGAAGAGATTCATAGCATTTCTGGTTCTCAGATTTGTATTGTGTTCTTTTGGTTATATCAGTCAGCTCTTGCTTTGGCAGTGACAGACGTGCATACTCTGTAACTACAAAGTTTGTGCTTAAGAGTTTTCCTGTGCTTGAAGATTGAGCCAGTCTGAAGGATTGCAGGTGGCCTTATAATATTGGTTAGGGTTTGTTTTTTTTTTAATGACTGACAAGAGTGACCCTTTGGCTTTGGCATAAATCAAACAACTAATACTTGTTAGTGGCTCTGAGAATTTGACCTGCCTACAGGAATGTGGCTTCTCCCGTTCATAACGCCCTGTTGTCATGTGACTGGTTGTTTTCCTCTTACATCCAGAGGTTATAGGTAAGTCATAAAGGTAAAAAATGATAAGAAGTATAAAGTTGTGATGTGTTAGAAGTTGTTTCAAGAACTTGATGAAAAAAGGCTCACAGAGGGTATCTGATTTCACATTGTTCCCGATACTAAAACCTGCGACCTGTGAAGTAGAGATCTTGTAGTCTTCGTTTATAAAGTAGAAAAGATCTGAAATGTTGAATAGCTGAAAAGTTAAGTAGATGTTATTGTGATGAAATCTGCTTCATATTGTCAGTTGGAAAAATGAACATGAGAAAATTTTTATGTAAGACTTTAAAAAAAAAAATACGCTGAAAGGGATGCAGAGGAATAGTGAACTATGTCAGTGAAGATCCAACTTAAGAATGTGAGTGGAATAAATTTCAAGACTGAAGAATAAATGTGAAATTTTATATTTATTCTGTATCTTCTCTCCCCTTGCCAGTAGTAGTTAAGAAAAAGTCTGTTGTTCTTTCTGTCTAGAAACTTTCCACTTCATATTTTTAACTCTGAACAAAGTGTCAACAACAGGAAAAAAACCCTTTCTTTGGCTCATCAAAGACTTTTCCTAATTTTATAGCTTTAGAAAGGATCAGCTGTCTGGCTGTACCATTCAGGATTTCTTTTAGCAGATGCCTGCTTCAAACCTAGTAGCAGTGGACTGTCCTAAAAGAAAACTGAACTAAGGAGTAATTGCTGTATTATTGCTGCAGGCTGTGAATGTCTTCGCACTGTCAGAACGACTAGAAAAAGCCCTTCTATCAGATTCACCTTTGTGCTAGGCGAGGAGAGCTGAAGATGGTCTGTCCGCAGCAATTCATCTCTACAGCCAGCACAGGAACAGAGAGTGTGGTGGAGTCCAGTCCAGTATTGGCTTGCTCGTTAGGGTTTTTTTTACTGGAGACAAACAGATTAAATGACACCTGAAAATGAACTAAGCAGTGCTGTTCGGGATCTGCTTTGAAAACAGCTGCCTCTAAAGAGTACTTGCTTACTTAAAACAGATGTCATTATAGTTGCCTAACTATTTGCTGTTAAACCAGAGAGCAAGGAGCCAGTGCAATCTCCTCCTGATTGGTTGTAAAGCTTGACTTGAGAGTCCCAAGCAAATGGAGAGGATCAGTCACTGATGAGAACGTCTAAAGAGATGGTTTACTGGTTATGATTTTTAGACTGCTAGTTGATACTTGGTGGCTATTACAGGGTCAGTGCAATTTTAGGTCACAATGCCTCTCCTGATTGTGAAGTTTGATCTTTGATACTGGTGCCAACTGTTGATGTTGTTGTCTTAGATTTCAGCAGTGTGAAGAAACGTAATCCAATCTGATGTCCAACAATGTCATAAGGAAGATAAGTCAAGCCTCATTCACATGCCTTTTTCAGGCCCAGTATAGATCTGGAAATTGTAGGAGAACAGGGAAAAAGCTAAGGAGGCTTATTTATTGATCAACAAGCAGATTAAAAACTCCATGCAGTTTAATATAATTTTTTTGTTGTTGTTGCTGTTTTTTTTGGGGTGAGAGGGGTGTCGGGGGGGGCTCAGCATGCTTGAATTGACCATGTTTCCACTGTTCCTCAGATTTCAACTTCATACATACTAGAGGCAGAGGAGGTGTGTGCTAGTGATAAAGTAGACTATGTGGAACTCTTTAGCTTTCAGCTAGCTTTAAGACCAGTGTTTTTCCTCTTCAAGTTTGAAAGTGCTATCACTGCAGACCTTAGGGTGAGAATGAAGCGCTCCGATTAGAAGCCTTTAGAATAAAGCTCGTCAATTATTTATCATGACACTTGTACCGTGTCTTCTGCAGTGTAGCCTTGGGCTTGTAGGCAAGGTTGCAATATAAATGATAGTGTTAATACACTTGTTCTCCAGATTGATAGGTTTGCTGGCAGTCTGGCAGGCAGAGAGCTGCTGTTCTGTGTTAGCAAGCGTAAGCATGAAAATTTAGACAAGGTATTACTTGTGCACGCAATGATCTCTTTACTATGGGGCCACTTAGATGAGCTCTTTACTGTGATGGAACTGTACAGTGTTGGGAGCAGGCTTTTCTGTTAAGAGAGACTGGATTTACCGGGGTTTAGTTGTCTTAATCTGCTGCAGTCTGACTGTATGCTTCAGCAGATTTTGGGAAGAGTGTAAATTATTAGCAGCTTCACAAATTTCTCACAGGAGTTGAAATGATAGTTACATTAAATGCGTCAGCTTTAAAAGCACTGAAGAGTAGTATCCAGTGCAGACAAAGAATAATAATGTTGGGCCTCTGTTAGAACAACCAACTGGCAACAACACATACCAAAAATCTTTAGCCCTAAGGACTTGACTTCCTGTATGCCTGGAATTACCTTAAATAATAGCAGAAATTAGAACACAGAGAAATACTGTTTCCTTTCTTTGCTACTAGTATACTTTTCAACATTGCTTCTTTGCTGAGATGTGTTACTTAATACCATCATTCAGTTCATGCCTCTGAATAATTTAAAATACCCAGAATCCTGACAAGACAGTCCAATGCTTGGCCAGACTGGCTGACAGTGTGCAGTTGAGTTGTGGTAGCTGGTCACTTTTAATGACCCTGACTGAACATCTTACTTTTCTGATCCACACAGAGGAACATGTCTCTTGCGACAAGTAAACTGTATTTTTAGGGCACAATATTTGTATATTAAAAATTGGAGTTGATGGTCTGTCATCTCCTAATTATTTCTTTTGATGCCTCTTCAGACCCTTATTACTTATTAGACATAACATTGGATGTGGCTACTTTATGTCAGGCTTTTTTTCCCCCTTCTTTTTTCATAAGGTGAGAAAACTCTGATTTCTGTGCCTGGATAAAAGCAGATACAATAATCTTTGCTGCACTGCTTCTCTGACTTTTCCCTCAACAATTAATTAAAGCTTATAAGGTAACCTTGTTCTCCAGAGAGGTTGACCCTTCTTATATAGAACTTGATGAACTGGAAACTGGATTATAATGTACCTGGTAGATGCCAATAGAATCTGCATTTGGCTGCTGATTTGAAGGGTCTGGAAATACAAACGTAGATTTTAAAAAAAGTCATAAAAGAAAGGAAGAAAGCATTTCTGCTTTTTCCACCTAGTAGAAATGTCTGTAATGGCAATCTTGCCTCTTAGATGGTTACATTTATTTTTTTTAAAACATATCACACAGTCTGGAATAAGTTTTCCTGCTTCGAGGGTGGCATTTTTGGAGAGATGGGGAGGATTGCCCTCTCTCCCCCAGTGTGAAAATATTTTCTGTTCAGAACTGTCATTTTCTTCCGTCTTTTTCACCAGAGTTTCTTTCACATGTCTGCAGTGACCATGTGTAGTAGTTTTGCCTCATCTCATACAGTAATCCCAAAATTTTGATGGGAAAGCATTATGGTTTCTCTGCATGGTCTCTTTTTTAATGTTGTTTGTTTTGTGTGTGTGTATATTTGTTTTTTATTAATGAAAAGGTGATGTGTGCCTTTGGCTGTAAGTAAATTCTGCAGCAGTGGTTGTGGAGTGTATCAGCCTTCTGAGTGCAGTTATTTTTAGAAAAAAAAAAAGGAATGCCTGTCTACTCCTACTGATAGAAAAAATGAGCAAAGCCCTGATAACGTGTGTATGATTTGTGTTTCTGAAACTTAAAAACTGCTGACTCCACCCCCCCAAAACGTAATTGCAGATCAGGTGCACATCCACTGAAACCCAGCAGGACTACACAGGAAAACTGGACGTCTTGATTGAAATTACGCAGTGACTAGGTTTTACTTGATCTTTCGGTATTCTCTAAACTTCTAATTGGAAATCCTTAGTGTGTATTTTCAGGAGGAAAAAGAAAGGCATTATATTGTGCTTCCAGTGAACACGTTTAGCTAGTTTTCTGTGTAAGTGTACAATTTTGACCTTCCACTCGGTTAGGAAGTAGACCCTACTTGAGCCATATGCGTATTTGTAAGTGGATGTTTTCTGAATGTTTTCCACATCAGGTGTCATTTGCAGCTTTTGGACCACACTGCCAAAATTTTATGGCCTTCAGTTGTATGTCACTTTTGTTTAACAACCTTAGTTGATCTTTGCAAAGTGTTCATGGCTCACTGACTCCCTCAATTTCTCTGGAGTGGTACAGAGCGTGGAATTATCTGTGTGTAACACAGTGGTGCCTGGTACTTGGATGAACAAGTGTTGCCCCTGTACTTTTGTTTTGTTGGCACAGAGGCCGCTGTGTCTGTATGGACCCGGGGATTGCAGGCACTTGCCAGAAAAGCCTGCTCGGGAGAGGGAGCTGGCTCCTGTACGTGAGCATGCAACTTGTTTCTCTTTTTCTTCCCAGCCATGTCTCAAGCTGTGCAGACGAATGGGACACAACCTTTAAGCAAAACATGGGAGCTCAGTTTGTACGAATTACAAAGGACGCCTCAGGTAATATGTTCTGAAGAGCTGTCCTTTATGGCAAGGCTTTTTTTTATACTTTTTAGAACTTGAAGCTTGATGTTTAAGATTTTCTTTCTCCTTTTTGAGTGTTAACGCTCTT